GGCTTTGAACAAGCAGCCAAGCAGGTCCCTCGCATCCTCAAGTCCAAGCATGCCAAGGAGGGTTAACTACGTCAATAAGCCCAGACGAGTTTCGACTGCGTTTCAGTCCAAACATGCTAGTATCAAAAGAAAACGCCAATTCGTTACCGCATCTTAGATCTCACAACGGGTGCATGTCTTGGCATTTGAGAGACGTCGGACGTGGTAGCGGAACCCCGGTAGCTTTTGTCGTCATAGCCAACGCAGACAAGAGAAGCCGAAGCGAGGGCGGGATTTGACCAGTGTCTCTCTTTTGACGTTGAGAGAACTTCCTGTGGAGCAGCGCAAATGGTAAGACGGCGCTGCTATTCTACTCTCAGTAACAAGCATACAAGAAGTGAGAACGGATGTGCCACTGGCAACTTTCGCAGAGTGAATAAGCAGGGGACCAGCTTGTAATGTAAGAATGCACTCATTGGTGAGCCAGAAACTTCCAATTGTAGCGCTTTCGACTGAGCAATCTTGCCCGAGGCTTGAAATGGTGACGATGCAGACCAAAAAGCCTTGAAGGACAACGCCATTGGATTCTAGGCAAAACTTGGTTTGTGTCAAGAGCTGCTTCAAGAGGCTGCCTGGGCGGTCTGATTAGTGCCTTGGTAAGGCTATTTAAGGATTGGTGCCTGGTGGCCTCGGATCTTGCAAAGATAATGAGATCAAATATCCCATAAACGTTATCGTCAAAGCCCATTCAGACCCTAATTAACAAGCCAAATCAACCCTAAAAGAATGATCGACGAGGTGCGATTTCCATTCCCAGGAAAGAGATTGCCAAAAGGATCGCTTTTGAAGCAGTGCTGCCTTTGTCGCAACCAGTCTTTCATCCATACAATTGGCCGATAGGACCCATTCAAACGACACTTGTCTTTGCCAGAAGGATCTATCGAACCGAATCGCCAAAGGGGCCCTCTTTGCAGTCTGAATGATTTCGTCAGAAAAGGTACTGCAGGTCGGAAACGAGACACCCTGGCATCAAGATTGGCGAAGAGAGGCTGGCAAACAACACGCCAACGACCATTTCATCACAGCCAGAGAAAGTGGCCGAAGGAGTGCTGGAACGAACTATCTGTTACCAACAAATCCCGAAACATGCAGCGAACTGACGCAAACACGGATTATGCAAGCATTCAATCGTTGCAGTGACAGATCTGTGAACCTGCTGAAGACATGCGACAGCATATGGGAGGCATTCTGTGGACAGCACGGATCTTACGAGTCAGTTCCGAGGAACTGCTGCAACAAAAGGCGCGCGTACTGATCGATTTTCTGCGCAGCGCCAAGTCGATTGGTATGCCGAGTCGAACGCTAGTGGACGGTCTCCTTCCGGCACAAGATTAGAAGCTCGTCTTGAGAAGGGACATTATCCCCAAAATCAGGCGCCCACAGAATAACAGAAAGGTGCGCTTACAAGCGCCACAACCGTCCGAAAGCAGAGAGCAACGAAAACACCCTGCACCTTAAAAGCTGCCATCGTGGAAATCAAAACGGCGTTCCAACTCAAGGTCAGTTCCTGCATTTAAGACGACTGAAGGCGTCATGAAGGGCGTCTAACCCACTGTATGCAAGACGCAAGCATCGCAAGTAAGAGGAAAGGAAACGCAGTCTGGAAGACTAACAGAGCATTGCCGGCTGGGGCAGTCAGGAACCCAAAGACAGAAAGATGAGTCCACGAACTTTATTTCGAGGACCCAGAATCCATCGTTGCCAGATGAAACCTTTCGGTGATGGCTACAACATGGTACGGTCGGCGTTATTGCATGATTCACTGGCCTTTTCGCTTCTACCTACTGTAAGCAGGCCAAGCTATCCATTGCTCTTGCCGAGCTACTGACTCTGCTCTTGTAGTTCTCCTACTACGAAGCCGTAACGTAACGACGGAAAATGTGGCTTCCAGTGAACCGAAGTTGATGAGTCGCTTCTCTCTCCAAGGACGGAGTGAAAACAGGCAAGTCTCACAACGAAACAAAATTCAATGTAAAAGCGACTTGTTGAAATACCACTTTTCGGGGAGCAGCCGATCAACATGACGCAGACTGTCCGGTACATGTCTGGCCTCCAAACGTACGAGGAACAGAAGGTGGAATCCCAAGATCCCAGCACGCCGTGATTGTCATAGCAAGGTCAAGCAAGCCCACTCGACTTCGGGACACACTCACTTTGACAACCGGCTTTCAAAAAAATAATGCGGCGCCCACAGAGCAGCATTCTATGCGTAAGAGGTCTCTCATAATCTGGACCGCCATCTGATGTTGTCAGGCTCCAAGCATTTCTGTTGCAGTTGATGCAGATGGATGAAACTTCTTGGAAGTTCGGGTTATTCACAGGAACGTGTCACCACGACAAGCACCAAGCTCTTCGAAAAGCACACGGGAAAGCTGATTACCGAACACACAACGAGTTTCTGTTAGGTCCGGAGGTTTTGTTTCGAAACCGGGTGCAGCAGCAGCAGTGCCGTCAGAATCAGAAAAAAAGCGTCGCGGGCCAACTGCTAAGGACAGCCTCCAAAAAACAACAAACCTGAGAGAGAGTGAATGAAGAAAACAATGCGTCCTTGGCCTAGGACTTCTCATGATGGTGTGGAGACGGCTACGCCACTCACGTCCGAGTCATAGCCACTGAACGCAGACAAAAGTCTGAATCTTGGATAGGGGAATCAGGTGAGGCCCGCGATGTTAGCTGCTGATTGTGGGCATAAAGAAAGCACGACCTGTCAGATAGGTACTGGTCCATAAAGACGTTGCCAAGTGACACAACGGCAGGATCGCTTCCAAAGTTGATGGCATCAGCAGCCAGAGACTTGTTCTGACTGACGTGGTCTCTCGGTACAGCTCCTTCATAGCCAACTCTTTGCTGCCTTCCCACCGTTTCCTCTGGTTACAGCGTCCTCCAGACGTCCAAATGTTTGTTTGCGGACCTGCGAGCTCTTGTTTTATTGTGATAGTAATATTGCTCGTCGATTGAACGCTGGCTGACTCTTAGGAACAAGTCCTCGACCCCTCACTGTAAGTCACTGTGATCCTTAATCAAGCTGAACAAGTGAGGCGCTCACAAAGCTTCAAAGATGAAGTTCTTAGAGAGTTGCTGAGTTCCAAGGAAACGCCCAACCCGCTCTATCCACCCGCATACCCGGCAACGAGCGCGTGTATGGGGGGAAAAGAGGGGCACGAACAGGATTGACTTGGCTTCAGCGGAGAAGCTATCGCAGGTACTGCGTTTACCTCAGTGCAGCGGTCGCAGTAGATACCAGCAGAAATGTCGCCAACAAGCTTCGTCATCGCCGATTTCCACAAGAAATCTGATTGACAGGGCGCCCTGGCTCCGTCTCAACATTGATCGGAAATTAAAATGCTCACAACAAAAAACTTAAGAGGCTGTACTCAACGGCACATCTTTTTATTGGGCCCCAGTCCCAAGCCGGAAGCCAGGCCAGTATATAGACAAGGTTTGTCTGCTCTAGCAGCAAGATAATAATTCATTAAATACTCACACTTGCCTGGGACGATCGACAGTCAGTCACGTGGTCACATTCCTCAAGTCTGCTGTAGCGTTGACCAAGCTCATCGACTTATCACTTGAGGCACGCTTGAACGAACCCCAAACCAGGTGGAAGCTCAAAATTATATCAATGTGCACGCCATCGCAACTGTAGGTGCTCACGCAAACGCTTGATGTGCTATGATAGGCCGACCAGGAAGGGGCCACGCAGTAAGAAAAGCAGAAGCCATTTCGCCACTGAGATATATACGGCTCAATATTGCCAAACCAATCAATCGGAAACTTCCCTAGCTGCTTTCTGGACGTCATCTTCGATCCGCATGCTAGACTTCTTGTATAAAGAACACGATGTCGACGTAAACGGCTTTGCACGTTTTAGGGTCCGAGTCGATGACGCAGCTTATCGGTGTCAATGGACTCACAAAGCACCAGCAAATTCAAGAATCATAGCGTTTACAGAACTGAATCACCACTGACAGCAGCAGAGTACATTTCCACTACTGTTGGCAAAATGCTGATTGCCAACGACTATCTCCTCACAGCCGACGAACAAGACAAGATGTCGACCAGGAGAGATGAGGAGAAGCAAACTCTCAACCACGAAGGCGTTCCAAAACATAAGCAAAGCTGCCGCATCAGAGCTACACACAGCAAATGCAAGTACGCCTCTCCGTCTACGCTCCAGAAGAATTTCGCTCCTGAAAAGCAGGGCAAACTGATGTTCTCATTGATCGAAGTGTCGGCTCCACACCCCTACAACAGGTCTACCCTTGCTTAATGGTGCTCGGTTGTTGCTAGACCTAAGAAACATGTTAAAGCTGATAATTTAGTGCCTGCGCCGCTGCTTAATTAGAGTGTCAAACAGTCTGCTCCGCAAAAATTTTATGCGTGACTAGGAGTCACATACTGCCGCTCTCTAAGGCAAGGGGTTTGTCAAAAGCGAAAATTATTCTTAAGTGCCGCAGCCGGCCATGAGGCACGAGCGCGTCTGCTGGGTGCAAGAATCGTCGCCAGTTTCAGCACTGCTCAGCTCAGGATACCAGATTCAGCATTGATTCACCCGCACATTCAAAATTGCGCACTTGACAAAAATCAGCACCTCCGCTTCGGCAAATGCTTCCTCACAAGGAAGCGCAAGTTCAGCGACCGCCTCAACGTCTGCTGACAGTCATTGCGGACCGCAAAGAGAGAGCAGCGGACAAACTGTTCAGCGGCAACCAAGTGAGACTCTTCAGTGGCATCCGTTCAATACTGGAAGAAAATTTGAGACACAGAAAAATCATCCAAGCTCGTAAAATAACTCAACATGTTCAGGCTTTTTGTATGGTAAAACAAGTTGTTTTTCGCGCAATCCTCGAGTGGAAGGCTTGACGCTGTCGCAAGTATGCAGGCATACTAATGCCTTTCAAACTCCGTTCAGCATTGGCATCAGTGTCTTGGCTGCGGTAGCAAAGTTACGGGTTTGCCAGCGCGTAACCTTCACGGCCAGGACCACTTCTACGCAGTCACGTATTTGCTTACAAGGGAGATCCGAGTACATAATCGGCAGACTAGTGACACGTGCACAGATTAGAGTCTCGATGCCGCGTTGAAGCACACTTATTTAGACGAACTATGAACGTCCAACGATGGTGCTAAAGGCAAAAGACTTGGGCTCTGCAACGTGGTGGCCATTCAGACAAACGCATAGACAAAATCAGGTACCTCTCGATCGGCTTAGTTAATGTCTTTGTCGTACTAGCTCGCTAAAGGCACGGCCTCGGTGCATGAAGTCTGTAAACTCGTCGAAGCTTGCACACCCGGGGCTGAGCAGCACGGCATCTCCTGCGTACGGGTCAAGCAAGCCTGGTTCATGGCTTTGCAACAGGACTTGAATCAGAAGGCACCGAAGCGCCCTCTCTTAAACAGTTTCAGGGATTTCGACAGACACAATTGATTGAACTCCTTTTGATGTCCTGCCCCAAACCCGTTTTACCAGTATGCGCCCTTGTCGTTGCACAGAGCGTCGGACTGGCTTAGCAGTCATGGCGACCACAAATTCCTTCCGACTTTCGTGCACAACCTTTTGACGGGCACAGCCAGATCTGAAGCCTGATTCAGGATCCACCTGTACCACAGGGTCGCTCAACAAGGTCCGAAGATCATTGCCGCGCAATCGCTATTAGGGGAAAGGTCCTGAAAGCCATGCATTCTATATACAGCCGCCCTTCACCCGTCGAGGGCTGACGATATTTATTGGGGGCCGTCTCACCTCTTTGCGCGATCAAGCTCGCCCGCTCGACCGCGTCCTTGAGCTTCGGAAGCGTGTGCACCGGAAGGCCGACGCCGCTGTCCGCCAGCTCAGCAGCAATCTCTGGTCCGTGCTCCCCAAACTGCGGCGGTTACAATTGAGAAGCACGTGAGCAAAGTATGATGTTATGTGCCTTTGATTGTGACAATTGAAGAAGATCAGCTTCAGACTAGACGGCTAAGTAAGTTCGTGGATTTGAGAACATGGATAAGCTGCGGGTCATCACCAGCACTGCCCGCTACAAAAGTAAAGAGCAGCCCCGCTTGTTCAGTTGATGCCCCAATCACCCTCACCCGCAGAACTTTCCATGCATCCCCGTACTTCCCTGACCGATAAGAAGCGCATGCGAAGGGACGGCTTCGCTCACCGCAATAACTGCTCGATGGCCTGCTAACGCCGTTTTCAGGCGGTCAAACCCGAACGGCATCCCGGGTTGATCTACCTGGAAACAAGTCGAGAACTTTCAAAGCGACGCCATAGGTGGTCGTCTCATGTAGAGACTTACCACACCGCTGTTCCTTTACTTTGCAGCTTTTCAGAATGATTTGGATTTTCGGACCGTTTGCAAGAAACGGAGTGTATCATTGGGAGAGGGGAGGCCTTTACGATGTTATTTGGGGACGTGCTCCAGAATCGACCCTGTCAGGACCCTGTAACCACGGCAAGGCTGTTACACCATAGATCAGCTAGTGACGGAGTGTTAAATCCACAAGTTTCAACACCTTTATCGTCCACCTCATTTCTAGGGGTTTCCACGACCAAGGTAAGAGAACCCACACCTTTGCCCGGCCCCCTAGAAGCACGACAGCTTTACGCCCCTGCACCCCCCTGATCCCGACCATGCTCGCTTCCACGTTCGTAGCTTTCGAGTCGTCGATCCAAAGGACGCCCTCCGAGTCCTCGATAACTGCAACTCGGAAGGACAAGAATGAGCATGAGATATTGCAAAGCTTTCCTGAGTTGTGACCCTTTATTGGAGATTCGCACCAAGCTTGGAAAGGCCCCGATTCAAAAAATGACATTGGAGTCCTTCACGGAAAGTCGTGATCGATCTGGACGCCATCCTCGACGGACAAAGGGGCGCTTTCTGACTACAAGCCAGGATGACATCGAGCCGCCAAAGGCTCGAAGAGCATTAAAGGCGTTTCATTTCAGATTACAGAACGCTGCATCCGTCCTCTTTTCAATCGAGGAGCCGCACAATACATCTCATGTCGTCCTGCAACGGCGAGCCTCGCATGAGCACCCTAACCCTACGGAAGTGACCGTTTCGAGCCCTTCCAAAAACTTCAGGACAAGAAACTCATGTTGTAAAATTTTCGTCCTCACCCCACCGCTCAAAGCACACTCAAAGCTCACCCTAAACTAACATAGTTCCTGCCCAACCCCCTCACCTATTTCCATTCTATGCGGCGGCGGCTGCAGCGTCGGCAGCGCTCGCTGGACGTCATCTTGCGTCAGCCCCAGGCCGAGCGAGAGCGCCAGGAGAGCCGCGGTTCCGGCGTTGTGGGCGTTGTGGGCTCCCAGACACCGCAGGACAGAAAGGTCGAGGAGGGCTTCCGGTCCGCCCCCTGGAACGGCGACGATGGCCCGTCGGCAAGAGCTGTCGAGCTGCATAACAGGGAAACTTTGTCGGTTCTAATATCAGCCTTATTGTGATACGTAAGGCGTTACTATAATGGGACTATTCAGGCTTGGCTTCCCAAACACCGCAGGACGGAAAGGTCGAGGAGGGCTTCCGGTCCATCCCCCGGAACGGCGACGATGGCTGGTCGACAAGAGCTGTCGAGCTGCATACCACGGAGAACTTGGTTGGGTTCGAAGACGAGCCCTTTTTGTGACAGTGAACGTTCTTCCGAGTGCGCTATAAGCTGTGGTACCGGCGTTAGCACCGCAGACGAAAAGGTCGAGAAGTAGCTCGGGTTCGCCCCCCCGAGTAGCGAACGATGGCCTGTCGACAAGAGCTGTCCAGCTGCACACTGCAGAAACTAAAGTCGGTTGTTTTGATGAGTTGCCCATATTGACGTTCAAATCGTTACTACAGGTTTGCCAACTGGCGTAAGAGTCCTTAGCACCGGCAGAACTGAAAGGTTGGAAGAGCCTCCGGTCCGCCACTTGGAACGGCGAGAATAGCTCGTCGACACTAGTTGTCGAGCTACATGGAGGCGATGCGCTTTAGCCGTTGAGTTAAGGACAACAGTTGAAAAAGGTGAAAGTACCTGACACGCACGGCCTAATGAGGGGCTGGAAACGTGCTCTCTTTAAAAAATAGGAATCCCCTATGCCGAAGAAAGCACGGGTATGTGCGTAAAACACAGTGACCGATCACTTGCAGATATCGCTTAGCAAATCGGAGATTGCTAAAATTGTACGGTAAGGCGACCCCTATCTCCCGCAGACAGCGACTGTGAGGGAGGGAGAGGTACTCCGACCTTTTCATAGGAAGTTTCCGGGTTCCTGAAAGCAGGCGAGATTCAGCTCCGCTCCGAGAAGGACGGAATCGAGGCGGTAACGCACCTGCACCCCGGGCAAGGCCCCCAGCCACGCCCGCAGTCCGTCCGAGTTGGATTCGATTGCAAGGCGCCGCAGGAACGAGTCACCTGATACAAAGAGTCCCACTGTGAATCAAGAATTACATATCAAGCAAGCGTTTCGAAGTTGCAAAGTTTCGGTTCGGAAGCGTATTCGGATCCAGTTAAGTCGAATATCGAAGCTCGTCATGAGTAGGTTCAAATGGTCAATACAAAGGTGGTACCCGAGCCCAAAGCTTTGGACTTGGCGGAAACCCTGGCTGAAAAGAAGCGTGATACCTTGTACTTTTACATGGCGAGCGAAAAGTAGTCTGCTTGCCGTTCACCAGCACAGTCGTTCCTGAAAATTTGCTCTAAAAGCAAACAACGGTTTTAAACAGGCAGAACGACCACCACGAGCATGGACCTGAGGGCCGTTTGTTCTGCTTTCGCCCGGTGCCAGCTGAGCAATCAGACTGCAAGCTTTTTCTACATATCGTTGATTTTACTTGAATCACAAACTTCCAGGTAATGCTTTTCTAGAGAAGAAGAAACAAAAACCACGGGAGACTTTGCACCTTGTGGAATGGCGGCAATCTGGCTACTGCTCATGTTGCGAAAAAGGGCGCACTTCGCGGCGCCGTACGCTTCCATGTTCCCGTGCCGCTCTAGATGATCAGGGGTAAGGTTCAAAACAACGCCCACCTGGGAAGGGAGCGACGAGAAAAGGGTGAGGAAGTCATTCGTATCAGCTTCCGGGTTAGCAGGGCCTTCAGAAACAGAAGACGAACCCTCGGGTATCAAAAGTCGGAGGAATTTCATTACAGAAACGACTGGGTGAGGTACAGGTAAATACAGAAGACTGCGTTCACGTGTTTCTGGTGGCGCTCTGGGGCGCGGTAATGCTTCTGCATCAAAATTGAGTACAGGACGACTTTCTCTACAGGACGACTTCCTCGTCCTCCAGACAAAAAAGATGTCCGAGAAAACACGCTGCTTTTTGCACAGGCACTGAGCGGATTCCTGAACTTCGGCTTAGCATTAGTGAAGAAAGAGCTTGACATTGTTGGCAACACCATTGCCAACGACCGCCTCCTCATCGCCAAAGATCAGTTACTCATTTTAACTCTTGCATAAACAGATTCTATGTTGCGGGTACCAACATGGTGGACACAAGAGGGCACCAACGCCATATCCACCATTCAAAGAAGCACTTTGGGAACGGCACGCAATCGCTCTTAGCCTCTGAAAAGGGCATGAGGGTTTAGCCGGCTACTGGCTTCGGTTTGAGCTCGTGGTAAGTGCTTCGGCCCGCTGCAAGTCCAGATGGTTCCCAACGCTACAATCGAGCAATTGAGCACGACTCCAAAGGCTTCTCCCGTGCAGCAATAAAGGGAGGTTGACACGTAATCTACCAGACCCCTCGCACTTGACACGCCAAGCAAGACGAGCGAACTTCCAAGCCTGAGGGTTCGTTGGCTGGCTACTTGGCATGCTAACAACCCTGAACAACGGACTTCACGAAAGGAGCTTGAGATTGAAAGGTGACTGCCTTGATATCTGCAAAGGATGCTGAATGATCCGATGGCAAGTCGCCTGTAGATACGTCCTCATAGCCAGGCCAGAGAGGAGAAGCGACTCCTAGCTTGGACACTGAAATATTTCTTGTCTTGTCAAGGATTGCTTTCACAGCTCCTCGTTTCGGTGGACAACATAATGGAACAGAGACGATGCTCAGTTGGCATCAGGATGATGGGGACGGATGGCACGTCCCACGAAACGGACATGCCATCGGCATTGTCGTCATGGCCAGCGATATTCCAAAGGACGGCTACCAACTTACAATGGAGTGCAACATCTGCCAAGGCCACGCATCCCGAAAAGACCAACCCTGGATGGGCAGCCATATGCAGGTCCGAAACATGGCGCGCTCACGGAGTTGACGAGACCACAGGTTACTAAGAATATCGAGTGGAATACCGTGGCAGCGGAAGAGAACCCACGGTTTGCTTCGAGAAGTACGATACTAGCACTTTGAGGGTAGCACATGCTCCTGGGTGGCCTCAGAAGGAGAGGCGTAATGAGAGCAGACGCTCAAACGCCATTGTCGTCAAGGCCAATGTGAAGAAAGACGAACACAGGAGGATCGAGAAATTGGATTGGACTTTGTCGCTCGTCATCTTCAAGAAGAGATTCCAAGAGCAGAAAGAACAAACATCAGAAAAGATTTGTCTTCGTCATCACGTCTTCTATCAGATGACATGACCGACGCAGAAACGGGCACGGACATAAGCAGGACTTCCTGACGGTGATTCCTGTGAAGCCTTGATCAAAGTGGCAACTTCGTTGAGCACAAAATCTCTTTCAAAGAAATACCAGCACTTGAACAGCGTACGTAACGAGAAGGCCTTTTCGTTTCTTGATCTTGAAGTTTTGGAAAAGCCAAGTGGGCTCCTTAACGGGCATAAGGCCCAAACTGGATGCGGCAAGCAGCGTGCCGGCAAACGTGTGGTCACAGCCAAAGCCAATGGTCGAACAGAAGATTAAGATAGATGAGGCGATAGAGATTCGAGTATGAGCAGACCATGCACCAGCCGAGGATATTCGAGCAGTGTAACCGCTCGCTCACTCCTTCGTTGCCTCCATGCTACACGCCCAAAGAGTGAAACAGCAAGAGCGGAGACAATAATGTTTAGCGTCCTTGATGTCGACGTTACTTGAGGCTGACACTTTAAGAAAGGGCATTTTAAGATCGCACATAAGAAAACGGTGGCTTGTAATGACCTCAGGGTCAACGTGGTCTTCGATTCGTCGGATCCGCCAGCGAACAGCATCGTCAAAGCCAACGCAGGCACAAACAGAAGCGGGCACCTAGAGTCATAAGGGTTGTATCAAATCGGAGGGGATTATTGCGCCAGTTGGCGTCTTGGTGATATAAAGGAGGAACGCACCAAGGCTCACGGTGGCGGAGTAAGAGGACCATAAATGACGACAAACGGCAAACTGTTCAGGTGTGCAAGCGCCCATGAGAAGAAACGCGGCAGACTATGCCCGTCTCACAGTCAGCGAGGTGACGTAGTACAGCCAAGCGAGCTAACACTTGAAAAACATGGGAAAATGGGCACTCGAAAAACTGTCTAGAAAGACCTCTGCGTGAGCCAGCAATAGAGCACGGTACCCAACGCTCGTCTCAAATGGACAGAAGTTTCCAAACAATTGCATCTCGGTCAACGCCAAGGAACGGGCTAATGTGTAAAGCAGATCCCGGGACAGAGACTCAAAAGCCGGGACGAATTCGGGCAGCGTTCAAACTGGAAAAGTTGGTGCTACATCGTCGACATGGCCAACGGGAGACGAGATAAGGCTCTGAAAGGAGGACGCAATGTAGTAAAAGCTTATGCGCATTGCTTCTCAAGCAGTTTTCCTGGTGAAGCGAGCACAGGACACAGAAGATAGCATTCTCTTGGCTCTAGATTGCTCCAATGTCGCGACGGCACGAGGACAATCCAGTACAAGTTTCGTCATAGCCAGCACCAAAAGCTGATGAAGCAAGAATTGCATCCTTGGACTTCGTCAGAACCTGATTCGCTGATTGCACACAAACTACTTGTAACAACAATCAAGACTACACATGGAGGAATGGCGCCTCCTACCCAAGTATCATCCTTTCGTCTCAATCATTAAGTACAGACGACTACTCAGCCGGGAACTTCTCTAGGCGACAACGCCGTCTGCCTTCGAACCGAACTCGTTTCGACCAACAACCAGCAAAGCATACGCCAGTTGAAAGGCCCATTTTTTTGTTTGATATACGAGGGCTTTAGGCACTCGCAAAAAAAATGGTAGCAGACACCCTCTTTGGCGTTCAGGCCAGATGGATGATGTTCGGTGTTCTCTTCGAATGCCGTTCAACCCACCCTAGCGAAACGCTTTAGAGAGTAAGTTAAGGAACGCACGACCAAACAACCACTGGCTTACCAAAGTCGACAAGATACGAGATAGCAGGACAACAACTTCATGACAAAAAAACAGGGGGGCTATATCATGAAAGTTGTACTTTGCAGATGGCTATCCGACACGATCACCAAGTGCAAAACAGACTTTAATTGAGCCTTGCAATGCATGTTGTGTTTTAAACAAGAAACATATCTGCATGTCCCTTAAAACCCTCCGCTTTGCGGGTGACAAGATTGCGGAGACGTCATCATCGCCGCACAAGGGGCAGAAGCAAGCAGTTGAGAAACCTTTGCACGCCCTTCAGTGAGTACAGTAAGCAATAGAAAACGCTGCAGTGTAGAGCGTCGATGGAGGCCAGAATGGGGCAGCGTAATTGTCCAATCGAATGTGACAAACGGCTGGGTTTCAAAGCAAACAGCAAGACCAATCGCCAGAACCAATTCTAGTTGCACGGGTGCAGCAATCCACGCAACAACGGCCAGAAGATTGATCCGAGCAGGAAAACAAAGGAAAACGCCGGTACAGTATGCACGATGCAAAAAAGCAAAACTCTGCTGTCTCCAAAGCTTTGGCTTGGAACGGCCGACGAAGGTGACTGCGACCTCAGTGTAGCAGAGTAAATCACTACCTGTGACCCACGTCCGACCCACTTACAAGGTCCATACGACACTTATTCTCTCTTAAAGTGCCGGGCGTTTTTGCCCAACTTATAGCTAAGAAACAAATGTCGTGTGCATGGGCTTGCTCAAAGTCACAGAGACGAGAAGATATGAAAGAGCTCGCCCCGACTCTGTCATTGGCTGACGACCACACGGGTGGCCTATGTAGTCAGCCCTCCTTTCTGAGAGCCCTTTTCCAAACTAAACACTCAAATAAATAAGGCATTTATTTACAAATGTCTCATACGCAAAAGCTACCGAATTGGTCGGAGCCAACAAATCAGCCAGGAGCAAAGTGCTTGTACAGAGTAGTCTACGCGTTACTGCAGGGACTCATCTCGGACCAACCTGTGTAAAGCAGATGACGGCTCCGGATTTGTTGAACGAGAACAACTCAATTGTAGCAGACGGTGATAAGACCAGAGTGAATGAAAACATTGGCTCACCTTAGGGTTTAAAGAACCAGGGAACTGCAGTTGGTAGCTGCTGACCTCTACAATAGCTGCCTGCGCGAAAAGCTCTCATGTCAGTATGAGCCGTCTTAAAAATGTTACGCAAGCTCAGGAAGAGCGGGTTAGACAGGTGAGTTGGACGCGTCTGGCATTGAGACTCATGCCCGACATCTTGTCTTCCAAGTACCGCAGCCTAGTGCTTTTTCTCATCAAAGGCAGCTCAAGAGAATTGATCCGTCTAGGGCAGCGGCCAAGAACGGGGAAGTGATCGACACCCACTTCGAGCGAGATGCAATCGCAACGTCCTCCAACACCTCAATTGGTTGGTGGTCCGAGCGTGGCTCGCAAAGAGTATCGAAGTGAAGAGAGGCAGATAAGAGCCGCTCTGATACAACTTGTACACTAACGTAATGTCTTCGACGGTTGGAGACTACGACGACCTGACTAAGCAAGCCAAATGCGCCGGATGTGACCCACTTCCAAAGTCTTCATTGCCGAGACTCGGCCGTCACCTGGTATGGAGGGTCGTCTGGCGGGAAGGCCAGGCACTCTAGGGCCGCCACTGACAGGGGCGTGCCGAGATTTCCGCCGAGGAAGGGCCGTTTGCCCGCCTCCCGGAGAATCTGCACACGAGGCCCTGATTCTTAGGTTATGATTTCGTCAACGCATCGTTTCAAGAACAAACACTGGCACGGCTCAATAGAGGGAACCAGTTTGGAACTCCACCACTTTGAGTTCCAGACGCCAGGGTGACGGCACCAGCTCGTTTTCCTGGCGAAGGAAGCCAACTGAATACAAAGCTTTTAGAAACGGACACACCACACTTGCTTCCTTGGGGACTTTTGCTGCGTTTGAAAGTCGACTTCTCAAGCGGGTAGAGACTTCGTTCTTGGGACGTGGTCACGGAATAGTGCTCCAAACATTCGGGGAAGCACGAGAAACCGTCACGCTTGTGAGCAGAAACCAACAAGTGCACAGACGGCGGATCCTGATGAAAGAAACGAGGCGAAGTCGAGGAAAAGTAGGATTGCGGTATGGGGCGAAGAACAAACTCCGTGTTGAGCAAGGTTTCGAGAACACTGAAGAAACCAAGGACGTGACAGTGGTACCGATAAAGACACCAGGAAAAGCAGCCATCGTCGATTGAGGGCCACGCAGAACCAGCAGGAATCAGCTTGCAAAGCCACGTTCAACCTGCGGATCAGTAAACCGGCTTGTCACGGCAACAGTTTCAAAATCCTCTGGAAAAGTAAAAAACCGTTAGCTAGAGCATGGCAGAGTGAACAAAGAGAACTTTCCACTTAGCAAAGATTCCATGAGCACAGCTGCCCACCTGTCCTGTAAACGTCGTGACTGTCGACTTTCCGTTGGTCCCCGTTATGGCTGCCATGGGCATGGATGAAGGCAGGGCCTCCGCAGCAAAAGCAAGCTCCGAGATTGCAGGAACACCCTGCACGGGTATGAAACGGACGGGTATCAAGCTGACGAACTTGAAGCGAAGTGCAGATGGATAAACCCATAGACGAACAAAGAACCCATGCGTCCCTAGCAGAAAATCAGCGGATGGTATTGTTGGCAAGCGTGTCATAGTGGAAAGCTGTTCGGAAAAGAGGGAGGATGTGGTATGGACGCACAGGAGTAAGAAGCACTGCCCAACGAAAGCCGATTCCTCACACAACACCTAAAATACCGGAAACAACTACTTTTGCAATTTCCCTTACCATACTACTAAGAAAAGTCTAGGAATACAGGACAGCCAAATATATCCTTCTCGAAACTGTCTCAAAGGACCGCCCTCGAGTGTTCTAATACCTTCAAGACTCCGTTTTCTTTGCAGAATGTCAGAACTATCAAGGCACGGATTCTGCGTGTAAATCGACTCAATAGAGCGTGGATGCCAAATTTGTACATTGCCACTCTGTGGTGATTTGGAAGAGATCGAAGGCGTTTGCCGCTTACTGCTTCTAGTGCTGCCGCAATCTCTGTCTGAACGGGGTTTACACCAGGTGACATAATAAGCAGATCCGCGTTTGCCAGTGTTGCTCGGTTGTGTGGGCCAAGGTCGACTTGCAGTCGAGCAAGGTCTAGACCGGCAAAGTGCTCCTCGTCCTGAACGTCAGTGAAGAGGAAGGATATGAGTCCTACTTTACATTTAGAAGCGAGAAGCTTGAAGCTTCAAGGATCGAGACAGTGTTCTCCAAATGATTAGCGTTGAGGCGATGCCAAACTACCAGCAGAAAAGCCTGCAGTTGCACGGGCAGGAAAAATGGAGGGAATACCTCCAGAGCGATCGAGAAAGATGTTTGACATAGTTGAGGAAAGTCGATGAAATGCACTTGTTCGAATTCAGCCGGAGGCAATTCACCTGGAGTGGCTTCATGTCTTCTCTCCTATCGCAAGCAGTCACGCGCTCCGCTCCCCTTGCCAAAGCTAGACGAGCGGCTGCCTTTCCACTGGCGCCCAAACCAACAACCTGCCCAAAGCGTGCAATCGTTGTCATCTGGATTGTATTTGCCTGGTCATGCAGCGAAGTTCTGTGTTCAAATTTTTCATATTCCAACTGTGCATATGAGCCGCGATGCTTATGCTTATAAACGGCCCCTGCTTCAAGACCTCAGTACAGAAATTGCGCTGCAACAGGACTTCTTTCTGCAAGTCTCTTGTATTCATCCCTCCAACCATCAAATAAGGAGGAGCAGCCCCACAGCAAGAACAGCGTAGCTTGGTGCAGCAACTTCTAGAAAATGCACGCATTGGAGTGACTATGTGCAGACTTACCACTACAGACTTGCCTTGGAGGTCACCCTGTCTGACACCCTGTGTCGTGGGCCCTGGTGTATTGTCAGCTGATGCTTTTGTGATGCAACCTGAAAAGGAAAGAGAAGCATAGTCTGCCAAAGCATATCATCCCAAACTAGCTGCGGGTTGTGGACACGACTAGAGGACCCCCCCAGTGCATCAATTCCTTCATCTCGGGCAAGAACAGCTGCTCATGCACAAGTACATAGATGCATTTGAGACCTTGCCACCATCGCAGATGCCAATAAAGCAAACAAATAGCTTTTGCAGACCGACATGTCTTCATGACCGTGCTTCTTCCCATTTTCTCAAAAGGCTGAGACCTACCTCGTTTCCTAACCACCCCATGCTTCCCGCTTTTCCGTCTGGTTGTTTTGCAAGACTTTGCTATGGAAGAGCTGTTCTGCTCCGTTGCTTGCTGTTTCTGCAACCTTCTGATAAAAGCATTGGCCAGCCCTGTTTCAGGGCTGATTGCCAAAGTGCGTGACATCTTTGTTTGCGAGCAAAGCAATCAAGGCTGCACAACCTGTGCATTCAATGCTGACACTTGAAATTGTTCTCAGCTCCTAAAGTACTACACACGTGCGTCTCAGCTTGAATGCTTCTGGAAGTTCCGCCTCTTCTACATCAGTTGAGCTTGCGCCGCATGCTCACACGGGCTTTCATAGCTTCAAGCAGCACAAGATGCCCCAATGCATCGAAGCAGACCTCAGACATCGCCCTCAGCATGGACAACTGCGAGCCCAGACTAAATGGGTGGCGGCTGAAGGGCCGGCAGACAATGTGAAGACTGAATTTCTGAAAATAGTGCAAGACTCAAGAGGCTCTGTCAGTGTCAGCCAAGACGTTTCCTCCTCTTTCGAAATAGGTCAAGGAAACCCCATTTTCCAATCAGCCGCAGTCGGAAGAGATATCTGGAGAACCGGTTCTATGCCCCCCTTGGAAGAACGCAAAGCTCGCCGTCATCCCAAGAAACGGGAGCGCCTTTCGTTGGTCAAAGAAAAGGTTACATAAGAAACGACGGTTAGGACAAGTTAAGGCTGGTTGGGCTTTGCCGCCTCAATTTGATCATCTATGATCTAGATTCTAGCCACTTTTCACGTCCTTCACTGTACAGCTCGTGGCTTTCATTTCAGGCTCTCTTCTCATGGCTCTCTTTTCCGGCTCTCCTTTTCGCCTCACGGCTTCTTGAGAAGGGCTTGGATGTTGGACAATTGCCCCATAGAAAGTCTTGGAACTTGATGTCATTGCACATTTGCTTACGCTTTGTTTGTACGCATCATCCTCAAAGATGAGCAAAGCATCAGCAGCTACAGGAATTGTATGATGACCATTTCCGCTTGGGGCGGCTTGTGAGGACTAGGCAACCTTAAGGACCTTAAACGCCAATGCTCCCTTGCTTCTGTAGAGATTGTCTCTTGTCAATTCCTGACAGTGAATGGTGTTTCTGCGGTCATTGTAGTGTAGGACGTCAAGAAAGTCTTTTCCATCAGAAGAGATAGTTTTGCATCCTATAGCAGTTGCGGAAGGCAAATCAACAGGAGCGGCCACCACGCAGTGAATGGCCCCTTCCCATCTCTTCAGCAATTTTGTGCTTCTCAAAGGGTTTAGAAGTGGTATGAAAAAGCAGGCATAGAAAAAGGTCAAGGCTCTGTTGACATGGGCAAAGAGTGCTTCGGCAAAGGATTTGGGAGTGGATTGAAGGAGCAGGCCTAAGCAGAAGCCAAGGCTTATAGCGACACGACAAAGGAGAGCATGGGTCGCAAAAAGAGACCCTTGGCGCCTCAAGCGAACAAGTCTAGTGTGTTCAACCGGCTGTGCTTGGGTGCAGCAAGCAGGGACCGCGAAGTGGACGCGAACCTAACCGTCAGTGTTCGAGTCGACAACGCAGCTTCACGCGTGGCAAACACAGGGGTCAACAGAACAGCGGCAGCAACTCAGCACCAGAGTCGTGCTTTGCCGGGAGGACTAGACCTCAGGGCGCGGATCAATGCACGGAAAGGGGAGCGAGAAGCAGAAGCTCCAGAAGGGGGTGGCGGCCAGAGCAGTCTCGGTGAGACCAGGAAGATTGGAGAGGCCTTGGCTAGCCGGTTGGGGAAGCGAAAGGCCACAACAGATCCTGAGACTTTTTTGGGAGGAGAAGACGGCGGAGGTTCTGCAGGGAGACGAATTGCAATTTCGGACCGGAGTGGCCTGCCAGAGATCACGATCAGGAGCCCCAAACAGGTGAAGTACAGAGCTTCTGCAAACGATGGGCATGAGCTCGCCACCGGCAGCAAGCAGAAGACCGCTCCGCTAGGCAGGACGGTGAATGGTGTGCAGTTTCGGAGCTCTGTGCTGCTCCTGTGCCCCCTTTGCGACGTAGTCTGTACCGACTTGTTAGAGCACAATCTCACCCCGGGCCATGTACGAGAGGACGAGAAGCAGCGGAGAACCGGGGTGTTCAGGTGCAAGCGGTGCGTTGTGGAGTTCTCAGAGCACGAAGAACTCGCTCGGCATGTCATGAGCCCGGAGCACCGAGAGAGGGCGGAGCGAAGGATTAGGCACGCGCTAGAGGAGGGCGAGGGCCTGCCAGTTGACACTGGAGACAGGCAGCGGAGTTCCATGCCAGAAGCTGGACGATCGGGGTGGACGTTGGAGGCTGGCGGGGGAAGGCGGGATGGGAGCTTGGAAAGGGGGAGAGGTCAACTGCGGCAAGAGGGCGCAGTTGGGCGGGTGCTTAAGCATAGGGAGAGCCAGGAAGAAGAGGATGGAGAGTTTGAGAGTTCAGAGTATGGGGAGGACCTAAGACTTGAGGACTCGTGGGATGGCAGGTCAGCCCGAGGTGGAGACAGAGGTGGGCAAGCGGAGTTTAGGCGGCCATTCCCTGGGTCTGCTCGAGAGCCAGTGTCCAACTCGCGAGCTGAGCCGGAACAAGGTTCCAGGATGCGCTCAGTTCTTGCTGAGCGTCAGTATACGCTTGAGCAGGAAACGTTGTCAGGCGCGAGAAGGGGCCCAGAGCGGCAAACAAGCGGAAGCCAGTCCTTGCACTTGTCTGGAAACCCAGCTGAAGAAACCAGAGGGGGGGTGTTCTCTAGGGTGGGACGCACGCGCAACATTTCTCACAGACCAGCCTCTCCAAGGAGATTAGATGGAGAAGTGACAAGGGGGTCAGTCCTTGGTGCTAGACACGAGCCAGACTCCCCCCCTCAGCAAACCCTGCTACCGCAAAGAGGACGAGCAAATGAACGTGCAAAGAGTTTGGAATTGTGGGAACGCTCTGGTCAGAAAAGAAAAGCGGAGTTTTCGGAAAGGATGCTACCTGGCACTTCCGGGAGGATGCCACCTGGCACAGAGATAAGAGGTGCCAGTGCGCAGCGGGAGATCTCACGGCTGCCAGACCGCCTAGAAAACGGTGGAGGGTATCCACATCGTGCTGATTCCTCCCAAGGTCCAGGGACGTTTGTGGAGGACGATAGGTTCAGATCAAAGAGACCCCGGCAGAATGAAGATCACGACAATTGGCGGCAAAGAAGAGACGGGGATGAGGGGGTGGAGAGAGATGGACGGAGCAGAAGAGAAGAGGATAGAAACCGGTTAGGCGGGGGTTTGCGTGAGGCAGAGATCTTAACCAGGGCAGCCCCCAGAACCGAGCAGGGTCGGGAAGGGGCGACGGGGCGGGTCAGGGAGGAGAAGGGAGAGCAACGGAGCTTCGAGCCTGAGAGGGAGGTTTTCCATGATGCAGAGGAAGGGGACTGGCCAGAGAGTGAGCCGGAACCCATCTATGAAGAGTGGCATGAAGAGTTTGCTGGCTCGGAAGAGCGGGAGCCCTTGCAAAGGGCGGAGACGAGCGGCGACAGGGTTGCTGCAGGAGAAGAGAACGGGTTGGCGCGCACAGGGGGTGGTCAAGAAGACTGGCTCGAGCTACGGTTGGCGCCGACGCATGTAAATGAACAGGAAGGGAATTGGCAGATCAGCGGGGTAGATAGAGAATTGGATGAGAGGGGGCTTGCTGACTCGGGGGCCCTGACGGAAAGATGGGCGGGCGGTGAGGAAACAGACGGGGGGGATCGTAGTGAACGGTATAGGAGCACGTTGGGGCGGGGCGGGAGGGGCAAAGACCCGTCGGAGAAGAGCGACAGTGGGCCCCCAGGTTTCCAAACGGAACGAACATTTGGGCGGAGGTCGGGACTAGTTAGTACTGGACCGGAATTTGGATTCAACCGGAGCAGACTTGCAAGCGGCCGGACGGGTTCGGTTGCGAACGGAAGGGAGATCGTCAACGGGCGGACAGGTACCAGTGAAGCGTTCCGAGACGGAGTTGGCGGCGCTTCAAACGCAATGGAAAGAGGACAAGGAAGGGGCGAGGAGTCAGCAGCGGTCTACGGAAGCACAGAAGCGGCAGACCGGAGGTCGGAACTGGTCAGGAAGGCGATCGAGCGACGGGCGCAAACAGGTAAGGTTATTCGGGGAGAGCTCCCCAGGGGTGTCCGGCCAGGTGTCATCGACGACGAAGGCTTCGAAGTTCCGGCGAAAGTGCAGGAAGCGGTGGAGAGGGGGGCCAATTTGCCCGAGATTGAGGCCCCCCTGAGCATGGACAACTACTACGACAAGATGGCGACTCTGTACCACGTGGAGGAGGCTCAGATGCAGGTGAGCTTCGAGTATTTTCCAGCCTCAAACATCCCATATCTTTTCTTCTTTCATCTTCCGAAACTTATCACACCTGGCCCTTCTATGGTCTGTGCTCCACCCTTTCGAAATGGGCTGTAACCCGGCCCCCTGTTTAAGGGAAAAGCGCTTGGAGAAAAGCGGTGAGACTGCCACCTCAAAAGAGAGGGTCGATCTTATTGTGACATCCTCCTCTATTCAATTACTGGCAAGCTTTGGACCCCTTGCTCCTTACGAAATACCCAAGCATGCCATGTACACCTTAGCCGTGAAATTGGGGCTCTTGTGAGTGTCGCTGCTTTACGTGAACCGAACAGGGAGCCTGACAGCATCGTCGCCTTTGTACTATGTTCTCAGGCTGCATTTAAGCTTTTACGTTGGAGCTGACCTGGGCCCACAATACACGGTTCTCCAATGAGCAACTCCGATGGACCGTGACTTCTGGATGGACTAGGTATTAAGGCAAATGTTTCGTATGCTCCCCCACTCACCTTACCCATCCTACTCTTCCTACTGACACCGAATCATTGTTCCACTTGGATTTCGCTCTTCCTTTGCAGTTGGACATCACCGAGTTCGACCAGGTAGTGACCCTCCAAACCTCCGGCCGCGGCCTCGTGCTGGAGGTGCCGGGCCTTGCGGAGCGCAAACCGTCGGTCGCAAAAGGCGACAAGATACTGCTCAGCAAGGGGCAGCGAGGCGGCGCCGGGGCGCCCAAGTATCTGGTGAGCGAGATTGGCTGCAGAATGCTCCGCCCGTTCGCTCGGAAACAGCCCTGAGGAATCTGCTTTAACCTGGCTTGATGTTCTGATCTGGCCTGATGCTCAGATGCTTTCAACTCCAATTGATTGTAAGCCGTCTTAGCGTAGAATGCAAGATCATGTCGAGGGCTATTTTTTCAACCGTCAGAATAGTGATGAGATATTGTGAGCAGCTCTCACCCAATGTCATGGTGCCTCCTTTTCAGTGTGCTTGCAAATTCACACCGTCTATGGGACACTGGCCTTTGCAGCAGTACATTTCAAAAAGCCCCGAGTTTGTATAGCTGGCATTATAAACTACAGAAAGGCAGCGAGGGAAAGGCTCAAGGGGCAAGGGGCCCAATTGGTGTGGCGTCTGTCTCACAGGAAGGCAGCCGCTTCTGAAGTATACTGGATTTTGAAGTGCCAGGTTGACAGAAAAGGGGTTGTCTCTGAATGAGCATGGGGCGGCCATGATTCGTACCTCTGCCTGGATCCGTACACCTTTGAAGACTTCAGCCCCTAGACTAAAAAGCTTCGGACTTTGGTTCCACAAATCTGAAACCGTCTTTCCCTGTCCCAGGTGTACGCCCACGACGTCGACCTCGCCAAGCGCGCCATCTTCACGCAGCAGGCCTACCTGGATCCGGATCGCGACTACCTCGTCCAATTCACCGTCCGGCGGGAGCCCATCGTCCGAGCCGTACGATCCCTCCAACTCTGCGGCTCAGCCGTCGGGTCCGAGCTCCGACACCTGCTCTTCCCGGAGGGATCCCCCGACCACTTGGAGAAGGGGAATCCCCCTCGGTTTGAGCCCCGGGACACGGTTCTAAACACAGAGCAGAAGCATGCGGTCGGAAGCATTGTGCTGCGGACGGTCGACGCGCGGAAGGATGTGCCGCCGTTTGTGATCTTTGGACCGCCGGGGACGGGGAAGACTAAAACGATGGTGGAGTCGATTGTTCAGGTAAGATGACCAGGGTTTGACGGTTAGAATTATTCAGTTGTTTTCGCTTCGAAGGAGGTACGATGAGGAGATGCTTCGAGCATGTGCGATTGGACCGCGGGGGACGGGGCAGAAATTGACCAATACCAATGGTGGAGGCAACCGTTCGGGTGAGGCTGTCAGGCGCTTCAGCATCTGGAGTCCAGGGTTTCAAGGTTCGATGAGTTGGCTCAAGTCGAATGAATCACGTGAGAGATAAGTTGTGTGGCGCGCGGGGCTGCTCAGAGCGTCCGCTTTGTGTGTGGAGTGGAGGTTGTCAGTAGGGCGTTGGCTGCATTTCGCGGAGCTTCGGTTGCTTTCTCTTCAAGATGTTTCCTGGTTGGAGGCGGTTCAGATGGGGACTGAAGCCGAGTGAGTGGTAAGCGAGGTGATGGAGAAGAAAGGTTGGGGCGCGCCTTTTTGAACATTCGAGGTTAGGTCCGGTTGGTCCGAAAGTGTCACACAAGATTCGCATCGAAAGGTGAAAGTCTGTTCATGAACTCTTTCTCTTGAGCAGCGTACCAAAAAACCGGTGCTTCACTTGTCAGTCCCTTTTGTCGTTACCGTGTGTCTCTGCAACGACTTTCAGCTTTTATGTTAATTTCTATCTCGCACCTTGAATACCGAGGGGGTTGCACCACGGTTCAACCCGTTTTCCGGACCTTTTCGAGTACCCTCAGGTTAACAATGAAAACCGTAAAAGGCAAGCCCCCGTCTCAAGTCGTACTTCATAATTACGTGTTTGCACTGAGCTTGGCAAGTTGTTTTCCGCCAGGTGCGTGAAGCGCGCCCCAGCGCGCGTCCTGGTGTGCTGTTCCGTTCAGCAGCGCTGGCGGACGATCTGCTGAACCAGTTGTACGGCGGCTCCTCTTTCACCTTTAAAAACACGTGCGGAATAGTCTTTTGAATCTTTTTTTGAGCCTCTTCATATCCCCAGGTCCGTGAAGCGCGCCCCGATGCTCGCATCCTGGTGTGCGCGCCGTCCAACAGCGCTGCCGACAACTTGTTGGAGCAGCTGTACAACTCCTGCCGGGGGACTGTCCACCGGGACGAGTTCAAGGCTGACGTGATCCGCATCAATTCGGCAGGGCGGCCCAAGGAGGGCGTTGGCGCGCTGCCTGTGACGCTCGCGGACTTTGCAACGTAAGTAGTTGAGGAAAACGAGTTCTTTTTTTGGAGTGACGTGTGTCAAGTAAGACACAAAGATAATTCTGGCTCTTTGCTTGAGTATCGAGCAAGATCTTGGAATCGAAGGAGAATCGAAGGGGCAGTTTCGAAAGAGCTTCAACATGAGCGGTTGACGAACATGCAAATTGGCTTGTGGGTTAGATGTTGTGCGGTAAGGAGTCTGCATAGTGATGACGTAATATTGATGGAACGTACTAATGAAAAACTGCGAGCGGCTGACAAATTGGCCGGCAGTTTGGTGGAGCGTCAAAGAAGCGGCAAAGTCTTTGAAACTCTGGTTTCGATGGAGCTCCTTTGCGAGTGTTATGGTAGATCTCAATCGGCTCTTCCAGTATATATGGAGTCGGCGATTGACGAATCGCCAACTCAAATGTTTTTAGTAATCCGCAATATTGCAGGAAGGTTGAACGGTTACAAGGCGCTGGCAAGCTTCGGTGCTCCCAACCAGACCAATCCCCTCCCCCTGGCGCTTGCAGGTACAACCCTTCCACAGGTTTCTACACCGTACCCCATCCAAAGACCTGCACCCAACACGTCTTCATCACGACCTGTAGCGCGGCCGCTCTCCTCCAGCAACGCTCCTTTCCCCGCGGTTTCTTCTCCCACATTTTCATCGACGAAGCAGGTCACGCGGTCGAGCCCGAGTGCTTCGTTCCGCTCGCGTGCTTCGCCACCCGGGAAACCGTAGTAGCTCTTGCCGGCGACCACCAGCAGCTGGGGCCCGTTGTGCGGTCGCCCCTCGCGCGGAAATACGGGCTCGGGGTGTCGTACCTGGAGCGGCTGTGCGGACTCCCGCTGTACTGTCCGGAGGATGACGACGGGCGGTACGTGGGCTACCGGACGAGCGTCATCCGGAAGCTCGTCCGAAACTACAGGTGCGACTTGAGAATCTGGTTTCTGGTTGTTTTAGAAACGTTATTTTTGCCAAACAAGGGTTTCGGATGGCTCCTTCGTTTGGCTGGTCGTTTTCAAAGCGGAGGTAGTCGAAGAGCTGCCGGTTGAGCGCAATGCGAATTGCAGGCGGCAGTGCATCATGGTCTTATATTTCTCCGTTTGTGGACTGCTTCTGACTCTGTATGTGCTAGAGCTATCCCGCTCAATCCTCGCAATGAGCGAACGCTTTGAGAGGTGGGTGTTAACTTCGACGAACAAAGTTAAGCAATTCGCAGGACAACCTTCTCTTTCCAACAGACTCTAGTCAGCTCCGATAAATTGTTGTGCTCGACGTCGCGTTCGGCTGACTCGTTTGCTCTGGACGGATGGCGGGCTGACCGCAAAAGGATTGTAAAGTCCATCACCTGCAAAGATTGATTGTAGCTAACAGGCCTTCTTTTTCGCAGGTCGCATTCGGACATCAGCTGGCTTCTTAAGCGCTCGCAAGCTGAAGCCCAGGACATCTGACGTTATAGACCTTTGGAAAAAAGTGGGACTCGAGACTAGTCAGCACTAACGGATAAAAACCCTCAAGACGAGAAATCTAAGCTTGTTTCAAAACCATGGACCTACTTTCACTTTAGACCGCGTATCTGAGGCTAATTGTGATTCTTCGCAGGTCGCATCCGGACATCCTCCAGATTCCGTCCGAGGTGTTTTACCACGGCGAGTTGGACGCCTCCGCGGACGAGGAGGCGCGCGAGTCGCTGTCAACGTGGCGAGAACTGCCCACCAAGGGCTTTCCGATCATCTTCCACGGACTGGCCTCGGCGGACGACAGAGAGGGGGACAGTCCGTCCTGGTACAACGAGGGAGAACACAAACAGGTACGGAAACGGTTTTAATCTGGATGTTAGTAGGTATGTGGGCTAGTCTGGTTGAACTGCGACCAAAGGGGTTTCTATTATGTTTCACAAACTGTCCTCTGCAAACGACAGAGAGGGGGATAGCCGTCTTGGTAGAACGAGGGGGGAAAACAAACAGGTACGGGTTTTAGATTGGCAGTTGGTCATTCTGCCGGTGTTTGCTAGATTCGCTTTGTTGGAGATGCAGGTTCGTTAGAGATTTCGGTATCCCTCCATTTCTTGGAACTTACCCACTTGTGTTTTTGAGTAATCTGAGGACTACATTTGGAAATGGCTGTCGACTCGGATAAAAGTTCAACATCCGACGTACATGAATGGCGATTTGACAAAAAAATTCATTCAAGATGTTTGCATTCCAAAAGTGTACAGTTAGTCGGACCACCTTCCTAACTAGAGTCTCGGGCTCCTGTACCCGCCGAATAACAAGTGATAACATAATCCTTGAACCCGGATCTGACCGGGAATCGGAACTTCTAGCCATGATGCTGGAAAGGCTGTCGACCTTCGCACGTGTATATGGTTTTGCCACCTTAAAAATGGTCACATTTCTCGAGCCTTGCAATTTGGGACTGGAATCGCTGCAAAACAGCAGTTGAGCCCAAAGCGCCGTAGTGAGCTGTCGCATTGCTGACGTCAACGCACCAGTGTTACCGCCATTCACGGACTTCGACATCCAACTTCTGCCCCAGATTGGAAGGAAGTACAACTGTCGCTGCTCCTTCATCCCACGCTGACGCTGTGATGACGTCACTTCTTACAGATGCAGTGATATCGACTGGCGGCTGTATTGTATTGTTTCAATTCTTGCATCATGCCGGCATCGGGGTCGTCGCGCCGTCTCGGCGGCAGGTGCAGAAGTCTCAGCAAATTGCAAATTTCACGCCCAAAGCGCGGCTGAGATTACCAGCTGGCGATGTGCTGACATCACCCCTCGCAGATGATGTGGTACATCGACCGGCTGCTGGACTGTCGCAAGCCCCGCATCACGCAATTCGACATCGGGGTCGTTGCGCCGTATCGGCGGCAGGTGCAGAAGTTCCAGCGCCTGTTGGACGCGCAGGGGCGCAGCGCGATACGGGTGGGCACTGTGGAGGAGTTTCAGGGGCAGGAGAAGCGGGTGATCATCGTGTCTACAGTGCGTGCGGAGCACGGGGCGGACGGCGAGTGAGTACTACGGTTTCGATTTTAATTGATTGTTAGTGCTTTCTTTCTGTTTCCAGACTATTCATAATGGCAATGTGCGCAGTCTGGGCGGAAGGAAACGTGGAGACGGCGAAAGAGGAATACGTTTCGTGTTTCTTTTCCTGAATTTGTTTGTCCTTCTTTTCCACTTTGAGTATTTGACGAATCGGTTTTTGGATTTGCGCGGAGCACAGGGCGGACGGCGAGTGAGACCCTACATCTGACATTCGCTCGGTCTCGGCTTGTTTATGACTGCGCCAGTTTGTGCTATGTTTGTTTCCATCTCTCTCCTCCTCCTCTTTGCCTTATCAAGATACCGGACCATGAGAAAGTAGACCACAGCGCCTTCCATACATTCAAATTTGTCCTGGTTTTCTTATCTTTGACAGCCACTTGTTTACTGATCAGAATACCAGCAATGCGGAACGAGAAGGAGCCATCATTGCTTTTGATTTGGTGTTTCGTATGCGTGCAACTTCATCACGTCACCCAGCACCTGACTGCAGGGCAGGTGGTTCGAAGGCCTCTTAACACGAATTCTCCCCCTGCTATATTGCTTCGATCAGCCCGCATCGGGGTTGTTCTTGTTAGACAGCCCTTGGTTCATAGACTTTTGCCCCTTAAGTCGGACGATCTTGTATCTGAGTGGGCAAACCGACGATCTGAATTCGAACCTAGTTAACCCAATCTGCGGCTGCTCGTGCACGTCGATTTTCAATGTCACGAATGCAGCAGTAAAAGATGAGCCGCGCTCAACGCGCGCATATGCGGCTGCAGACTGGATCGCACAGTCCGAGATTGGCCTTCGGGTTTTGCTCATGTGGAATCGGAAACGTCGGAAACTGGGCGCACCAATCTTAGATCCCTTCGGTTGCTGTTTTGTTTCTTATCCGATCGACCACAAATGGTTATCCGTTTTTTCTGCCAGGCCGAGGGACGTCCCGGGTGACGTCAGGCGGGGCTTGGGGTTTTTGGGGAACCGCAAGCGGTTCAATGTCGCAATGACGCGCGCCAAGGAGCTGCTCATCATCGTTGGCAACCCGCACGTGCTCAAGCAGGTGATTGGAAGAACCTTGCTCGGACGCTGGAACCTCAAACCCTAGAATCTCAACCTCCCAGATCCTGTACTCCAAATCGGGTATGCTTTCACAATGTGTAAGTCTTATACAGCTGCTGTTTGAGGGCTATCTATCATCTAGACCGATTTACACTCGTGTCACCTTTAAGAAGAGTTGTCGTGAACCCCCGAAAATCGCATGAATGATTTGTCTCGAACGCGACCTTAAGTGCACCACGGATCTGGCTCGTTGCGAGCTCCTGAACTTGGTCCACGACAGCAGCGTTGAGACTTTAGTATTTCCCTCCAGTGATCCTCACAAGTACACCAAATCTTTTGCCCTGTAAAACCCAATTATCCTGAAAGCTCGCCTCAGAGTAAGTTCTCAACCGTTCCAGAATGCATTCCCTGTTTCGGACGCCGGTTTTATCTGTCCTGAAGTCCCCGTCCGAATGCGCGC